AACAATTTCTCAAAATAGTACATAAAGATTTAGTATAATTCTGTTAATGTTTAATTTAGTTGCATAAAGAATTTTCTCTTGTATTTAATTATGCAATATTTCATTTAATTCTTTTTATAATCAAATTCACTATCAAATATTTTTAAAGATTTTAACCTTTATTTTTTATTTTTGTTTATGTGGTGCTAAGGAATAAAAGCAGTGCCTCACTCGTGCTAGGCAACTGCTACCACTGAGCTACAACCACAACCTTCACTATCAAATTTTGATTTTGAGAATTTGTGGGTCTTAATATTTGAAAAAATATAATATTTAGATAGGTACATTTGGCATTATATAATCATCTAAATAAATTTATTTCAATTATACCTCATCAAAAAATTTCAACTCTATTGTATTGAATTCTTTTCTGGGGGGGTAATAAAAAAATACAAATCAATATAATGTATTAATTGTAATTAAAAGAATATGTATTAATAAATCATTTGCTTAACCACCATCATCAGTGGTATATATTAAATATATATTTAATATGTTTTAAACATGTCTTTAAGATACAGTTAAACTTTTGCAAATCAAAATCAACCAAGACTGACTCAGAAAAAATTACTTTAGTATACTTACTACAATGAATGTAATTCTGGTTTTTAAAAATACACAAAAATAAAGTTTCTTAATCTGCACAGCCCTAAATGCTAAGGAATTGTGTCACTTGAAACCAAGTTTAGACAATTCTGGAGAAAAATACAATTACCAGATTATTCTAAAAGAAGGCACATGGAAAATATTCATATTTTAAACATTTTCACAAAAAGATGGAAAAGGGAAGATCAACTCTTTCAAAAGTGAAATACCAAGTTGTTTCATTACACAAAATGAAAAATTTTAATATTTCAAGAAACCTGGCATTTATTAGAAATGAGAAAATTAAGCTTTTCTTATAAAATTAAGCTTTTTCTTATTATAAATCATATCTAGTTTAGAAAATCATAAGTTATAATAATAACAACATATCCATTTAAGCTCATGTGGATAAAAGACAGAAAGCTGGCAAAAATAACCTAACCACTACCTAGATAAATACATTGAATGAAATAAACTTTCAATTTATTTTTCAAATTTAAAATACTTCTACAGAATCAAATCTAAAATCAAAATAAATTCACTCTTCTCTATATTTTCCCAGTACTATATGTTATAGATAAAATTCCATACGTAGGATGTCTGGAAGCTTCCATGTATACACCGCTGGTACTAGCAGAATTTCTTCCTCCCATTAGTGATACTGTCCTCAAAACAAACTGCTAATGGAAGTTGGTAAGTAGTCCCCAAACTCAAAATATCTCAATATCAAAAAAAAAAAAAAAAAGGTTAACTCATAATTTCCCTAAGATACTTTAAAAGATAATAAACAACCTCCAAAAAAATGTTCTGTGGTGAAACGAGCAATTTTCTTTATTCAGAAATTCTTATAAACTACACTATAGTAATCATGGTTTGTAGGGAGGAAGTGGTTAGAAAATGGAGAATTACATACATTTAAACTTTTGCAAATCAAAATCAAACAAGATTGACTCAGAAAAAATTACTTCAGTATACTTACTACAATGAATGTAATTCTGGTATTTAAAAATACATAAAAATAAAGTTTCTTAATCTGCACAGCCCTAAATGCTAAGGAATTGTGTCACTTGAAACAACCAAGTTTTGTATAATTCTGGAGAAAAATACAATTACCAGATTATGCCATTTGATGGGCAATAAAGGAATTTTCAAAGGCAATATAATTACATATCATTTTGTATATACATGATTTTTTTTTTACCTTGCACAATGACTTTAGAACCAAACTACCAAAAGAGGTATGTTGTACTTTTTGAACAGAAAAATATTCTAGAACCATCTCAGAGAATTAACATTCCACAAAACACATTTTGGAAAATTGATTTTGTTGTATAAAGTCAATACTTTAACACTCATCAATTTCAAGTGATAGCATGCTGAATATGTGATTAAATTTCATATAAATAATTTGCATTGTAATTTCAAAAAGTAAAACTGTCTAAAGAAGTATTTACTAGAATTATAAAAATACTACCTCAAATTAGAGGACTCAAAGGAAAGTCATAGCACAGATGAAAGAGAGAAGATAAAATGGTCAAATGAATATGATTTATACCCAAGACATTTCTATAATAAAAAGCTTAACTCTAATACAAGATATAAAAAGTTTTTTAATTCAACTAATGAAATTAAGTAATCAATAAGCTAAAATAGTACCCACAAGAGTTTATTTTTTGTTTCTATAGCCACAACCTAAATTTCCAATTAAATTTTCTCTCACTACAATGCCTACTACTAAATGCTACTATACTCTCTTCCTAAATTACAGCTCTATTATATTGTCCCCCTAATCAAACATTTGCAGTGGCTTCCCATTGTATATTCGGTTAAGTCTGACTCCTTAAAAATAGCATTTTATTTAATCCATTATCTGGCACCAACCAACATCCAAATTGATATCCCTTTGCTTACTTCAACCCATTCTGCTTTTCCACAAAACTTTTTTTTTTTTTTTTTTTTTTTTTTTTTTTTTGAGAGTCTAACATGATTTAGGCACCAAGTTAGGTTGTAAAATACTCTTATTTCAACCCAGGTGCAGAAGCTGAGACAGGAGGATTTCGAGTTCCAGGCTAGCCTTAGGCTATTTAGTGAGATCCTATCTCAAAAAAAAGGGGGGGGGGAGTTAGAGATGTAGCTCAGATATTTAAACATGTCTTTAAAATACATTTAAACTTTTGCAAATCAAAATCAAACAAGACTGACTCAGAAAAAATTACTGGATTTAACCCCCAATGCTGTTTTTAAAAATACATAAAACTATCTCATTGACTCAAATTTTAACCAGCATTATAATCCATAAGAGGGCCTATTACAAAAGACTGCAGGACGCCATCCTCAAAAGTTTCTGATTCAAATGGAATTTCTAACAAGTTCTCAAGTGATGCTGATGTTACAAAGCACTACACTTGGAGAATGATAGCTCTACTCCAAAAAGTCACAAACTGGAAGCCCCATGGCTGAATGAAGCCCACTCACATGTCTACATGGTATCTGAAAAACATTTTGAATTATTTGTGAATATTTTAAAATTGAAAAATATTATGTATATTGCAGGTTTCTGGTTTACTCCTGCAAGTAAAATTCTACTCAAGTTAAATAGAAGCTCCAGAGAGGTGTCCTAGTCTAGGTTACCAGAGTCTGAATTGGGTCTCTGTAATTTCACTTTAAAGCACCTGGCTTAGCATTGCATTTGTGCTTGCACACCCTGATCATTTTTTTTCCCCACTCTCCATTCCTTTTTTCGAGAGCTCACTCTGACTTCAAACACCCTTTCTCCCTGTATTGCTGAAATTCTAGTTGCCCATTCTCAAGCTTGATTTAAAATTCTTTCTCAACAAAATCCCAGCCAAATAGATATTCTTAAGTAAAACACATATTAAAAATTTAACAAAAGTTTAATGTGTTCTTTAAAAATCAAGGTTTTATTTCCACAAATACTAAAATAGCAATGTTTACCTGAAACAAGGCTATCTCATTAAATTATAAACATAAGATATTTTGCTATTTTCAAAGTAAAATTTTCATTTTTCACTGATTTTTTACTTTTAAAGAAACCTATTTCAGGAAAATGAAATAGGATATAACTTTCAATCACACAGTCAAAATACAACTTCAATATGATATCAGATCTCAATTTATAGAACATAAAAGAGAAAGGGTATGATTCCCTTGGTTTTAACCTAACAATTATTAACCGTAATCTTTTGTTGCTGCTGTTGTTTGTGGTCCTGCAGATTGAACCTAGGGCCTCATGCATGCTAGTCAAGCACTCTACCACTAAACTACATTCCAAGTCTTAAAAGTAGCTTTAATTAAATAAATTCTTCAAAATTTTAAATCTAGAAATCTGGAGGATATTTTAACAGATTTTTACTTGTATAGAATAAATTGGGAGGAGGGGAGGAGAAAAGAAAAATGAATACTGGTCCTTGCTCTGCTGAAGCTTTGTTACCGCAGTAAGTCACTGAGTTCTCCTTGGACCTGGGACCTATTTCTTTACCTCTAAATTGAAGAGGAGGGAAAAAGTGTTTTCCAAATGTCTTCCATCTCTAAAATCTAAGACTTACTCCTTCAAAAGATGAAAACATAAAAAATAGTGTCATAATAAAATTATGGCATTTGCCAGTAAATGGATGGAAATGGAGAATATCATGCTATGTGAAATTAGCCAAACTCAGAAATTCAACAAACATTTTCTTTCATATGCAGAAGCTAGAATAAAACAAAGGAAAGTGGGAGGGGAAGATAGGATAATATAAAGAGCCAATCAAATATGAATTAATACATGAGCAAAAGTAAATCTAGTAGAGGAAGAAGAATGGGAGAGGGGAAGAAGATGGGAAAGAAAGGGGGAGAATCATGAACTGAAAACAATTTCCATGCATGTAAGAGTGTGTCAGGATTAATCCAACTACTGTGTATAACTATAAATAAACCTCTAGTTTAAAAAAAAAAAAAAAACTACAGTGTCATACAGATACGGTTTTTTTGTGGTGGTGGTGGTGGTGGTGATGGTGGTACTGGGATCAAACCCAGGGCTTTGCACATCTCAAAGTAAGTGCTCTACCACCAAGCTGCATCTGCAGCCACAGAGAAAAGCTTCTTGTTATTGAGTCAGTATAGTTTCTAAATTGGACTGACTTTAAAACCTTTAACTATAAGTTTCAAACTTCTAACCCAAAGTGCTGAAGACAGAACTTTGAGAGAATATGTTTATATATACATATTTGTATATATTTTAATGATTAAAATAAAAGGCCATCTATAAGGGCAATAATTAAAAATAAATTGGAGGGAAAATATTACCAATCAACACATCAGTAAGTTTGATATCCAAAAAGAAAGTCAAATAATTAGGAAACCATGCCGCCCCCCCCCCCCCCCCGCAAAAAAAGAAAATCATGTCAAAAGTTTTTCCATAATAGAGATTAACAGCATTTTCCATACATCTATTTGCTTCAGAATATTCCCAAAGTAATTTTGGATGAAATTTAAATTATCAAATTGAAAAACTTAAAAAAAAAAAAACCCTCAAAGACTATTATAATCAGGTAGATCATGCCGTAAGCGAATTGCTTTCAGCTTCTCCACTTCAATTTTTGCTCTCAGTAGCTCTTCCTCTAGCTGCTGCCTTCTTTTCAATCCATCCCTCTTCTCCTGAACATATAATCCAAAATTTCTTTGATTTTCTAAAATTATCTGATGCTCTGCTTTCAACATTTGCAGGATCTGAGGATCGTACCCTAATAGAGACCTAAAATGTTCTCCACTTTCATGCCGAAAAAAATCATCTCTCCTTGGAGTAGAAGTTGGAGATGATGTCATTCTCATATCAACAGAGGAAAGTGATGGTGACAAAGATCTTTCCATAACATGTACTAATTCATGTTCTTCTCTTTGCTCTAAAACATCGCTGTGTTGAGGATTTAAAACCAGTGGAGGAGGTGGTTTAATGTCTTCTTCTTGCTTCACCTCCACTGTAATAGCAACAGGATGGTGATCCAACATTACCTGTAGTGAACTGGTACCAGCTTGTGCAGGTTCATCCAAGTTCGCACTACAGCACACAAAAAAAGCATTATAAAATATAAACCAAATGAAGATATGAGCATATTTATAGCATGCTTCATATTTAATATATACCTAATTATTAAGCCTAAAAAGCCAGGTATGGTGATGCATGCTGAAATTCCAGTAACTGCGGAAGCTGAGGCAAGAAGATTGATTCAAGTGCAAGGTCAGCCTCAGCAACTTAGTGAGACCCTATCTCAAAATAAATAATAAGGGCTGGGGATGTAGCTTGGTGGCAGAGCATCCTGGGTTCAATCACTATTACAAAAAAAGGGAAAGAAAAAGAGAGAATGGGGGGGGGGGATGAATATGAGAATTGTGAAACAAGAGGAGTTTAACCCTGGGCATAACAAAGAGACTTAAGATTAGGATTTCAATAACACATACATATAGGTATCCTCCCCATCCTTATCCCTTTTTGTGTGTCTTGTTTTATGGTACTGGGGATTAAACCCCTGGCTTCTGGCATGTTAAGCAAGTGCTCTACCACTGAGCCAAATTCCTGGCCCTCCCTTATTAACTTCAAAATTGGGCTTTTAAAAAAGAAGTATAAATCTTATATAGGCTAAATGAAGTAGATAAAAAAGAAAAGCCATTTTTAATGCTCTCAAAGAGATACCAATTGTCCCTATAACCTCAAGGTTTTTAAATAGTGTTAAGGGTCATTTAATATATTCTGTGCCTCCCTCTTCCCATACCTTATTTAGATCTCCCGCTCTGTTGTCTTTGGATTGTTATAAAAATAATCAAGGTTCATGACTTCTAGGAAGATAGTGGAAGCCCATTTATGTGAGGTACTGATTTCTGCATTGACCCAAAAAAACTAAAACTAAGGTCTCTATGGCTTTGGAGTATACCCCTTTACCTATACTGAACCACATAACTCAGCTACTCTTTAAGTCTTTCAATCATGGGAAGGTAAAGTTAACAAGAGCAAGGGGTTTTATCCATCACAGCATACCCAGTATCTAGCATAATATAGCACTACTTAGAATATAGTAGATGTGTTGAATGAATAAGTGAACAAATAAAATGATTTTTATATGAAATATTCTTAAATGGCCTATATAGGCACATTGAAGTTTTGCTGAATTTACAACAATTCCCATAACATATACATTCCTAGTAGAGGTAATTAAGAGTTTTTAGCATAATTTACATTCTGGCATATTATTTTTTGACATTATGAACACAATGCACTTTAAAATCCTATTTTTTTAAAAAAATAATTTCAAGTATAACATGAAGCTATTAAGAATATATATGGGGGCTAGGGCTATAGCTCAGTGGCAAGAGTGCTTGCCTAGAATGTGTGAGGCACTAGCTTCAAACCTTAGCACCACATATAAATAAGCAAATAAAATAAAGACATTCTGTCCATCTATAACTACAAAAAAATTTTTTAAAGAATATATTTGTGTGTGTGTATATGTATATTCTTGAGCTTTTTTTTTTTTTTTAATTATGCTTCTGCCTAACTTAAAAGGGAAAATAAAAAGGGGAAAGAGATTATTGGAACATTAATGGAAGTATGTTAACATTATTTAAAGAACATTTTATAAATGATAAATAACATCATTAGGAATATATCCTAGATGATGATTAAAATGTTGGAATACGTTCACATAGAAAATAAGGAAAAAAATTTAAAACTCCCATAAGTTACTTATTAATGGCATTAAGTTGCCAGAAATGTCAGATATTTGTCTAAGAAGATACAAATTTAAACAATTCAACAAAATATATATTATAAAAATTTTTAAAAATTCAAATAAATACTGTTCCAGTTTAGTATGTATAACAGTATAAACATAAATATTACATTTCTCCCACTATATTAAAAATATACTTATATCTGGAATATTCCATTCCATTTTAGTTGAAACATTACAAGCATAACTTTAAAAAAAAAGAAAAAGAAAGAAAGAAAGCTTTAGCAAAAACAATAAAAGGACTTAAAGGATCAAGAGGTTGTAGAAACAAAGCATAATCTGACATTAGAGAGAGGTAAAAATAAAGACATAATTCAAAGTAAGTTGTAGAAACAGATTTACTAAGCAGCTGTATATTTTTAAATACATTAAATAATATAAACATTAATATTTCCTTGTAAAAAAAAAGGGGGAGTTTGGTGAGATTAACAGTAATATTTATGTAGAAACATAATTAAGATTACAGAATAATTATAAATTTCTGATATAAAGATTCAATATGACATCAAATAAGTATATTAAATATATATTAAGTGAGTAAGCTAATATAGAGAAAATGTCAATATAGACACTAACAGGTAAAAATTTAAGTGGTATATTTCTTATATTCTTCCCTTTAAAATTTAAAAACATTACTATTATTTAAAAAGTATAGAAATGCATAAGTCAATTCATTTTAAATGTTTATATGTACATTTATATGATGTATGTATACACACATAAGTGGACAAACTATAAAGATACTTGTATATTTATATATTATTTCTCTTCTATATTCACTGTATTTTTAAAATATGCAACTAACGAAAACCGTAGTGTTTTTATGTGTAGTTTTTTAATTATAGAAAATTTAATACAAAAAAAAGGTAGTTTTCCACCTGTAAAGCAAAAGCCTTTTTTTCTCTGGGGTTGATGGAGGTGGAAATTATGAGTATACAGCACAGCATACAACAAATTTACTGTAGACTTTATTGGATTATCCAGCATATTAGGAGGACCTTATCATTTGTCATCAGAGGGAACATTTTAACCAGTGGCCCCAACAAATTAATCCACTGTGCATCCATGTCCTGAATTCCCACTGGTGATTTTTTAAAATAGTTCTATCAAGTAGAAATAAGCAGTATGTAGTAAGAAACTAGGCTCAAAAATATTTTCCTGGTAAATTACAAAAATCACAGAATCTCTTGGTTAAAAAGTTTTTTCTTCTGTTCTTCTAACTTCAAAGAGATTTCACAGGTAATCAATAATTTTGCTTACATAATGCCTTTCCTACTAGTAAGAAAGCACATTGTGTAAAGCTTTGTTTGAAAGACCCTGCAACTAACAAGGAGTTTACAGTTTGCTTTAATTATCCTAAAAGGTTCAGAAGAATGTAACTGCCATTTTCATCGTTTGCCAAGGGTTAAAATTTTAATTAGTGGCAAGATAATATAGTTTTGAATATTTCCAGGCAAAACATTACTTAGAGCACAATTATCTCAAAAATTGTTTCTAACCCTAAAAGAACTCAGTTGCTATTATGGGTATAATAAAATTCATAGTTTGATATCCTTTCAAGGCAGTGTAAGAAAGCTTACCCTTTCCTGTATGATCCAAGATCAAAGTGAAACTACACCATGAATGAATAAAAACAACAAAAACTTAATTTCATTAAGTAATCTGAATCTCTATTAGGTATTAATTCCCTTTAGTTGTGTTCATCTTATTTTAAGTGTTAGAAAAATAATTTATCCTGTCTTCAAATATATAATCATATTATTAATAAGTTTACTTAAATGTTGCTTTTAGTTCTGTTCAGTGCATTCAATAAGTGGTAGACAGTGACAAATCATAAAAAAGCAAAGATTACATTTCTCCTGAAACTACTTACTTCATATAAATTTTACATAAAATTGAAAAATCCAGTAAAATGTAATCTTAATAGAAGAAAAAGGTAGCTCTTAAAGGAAAGTTAAATAATTTAAACTTGAAGCTTAAAAAGTTTATGAAGTGATGTCACAAATTTCATCCCATTTATTTCTCCCTAACCTTCACTTTTAGAAACTATAAGAGGGAAGGGGGGAGGGGAAGACAGTAAAAAGTGGCTTAAATCTAATGCAGCAGAAAAATTCCTTATAGTCTCACTTTTCTTTTTTTTAAGAAAGCAAAACAAAGACACTATTCATTGCTCCCCTTGTGGGGATGCTTACTATGCATATCTCTATCACAACTAAGCCAAAGCCCAATAGATAGGAGGCGCCATAATTTTCCACAACAAAATAAAATAAAGCTTACCTTTGTATGTGGTTCCTGTCTCTTACCAGGCAAAAACTGGAAATCTGGGGAATCATCTCCATAACTTTCTTGGTTGGCTCAGAAATATTGCTTTTAAAATCTGATTGGGCCTCTTTTTGCTGCAATAGTTCCTGTTTGGCATATTCTTTGAGCCTTTTGTAAAGGGTGCGTAGGCCCTGCGCTGTTCGAGGAGGGCGATCTACTCCAATTGCATTATAGTTAACTGCTATGATATCCCAACATCTATTCTTTTCCACTATGACTGAATGTTTATTAGTGTGTTCTTCGAGAATTTTCACATATGGCTTCACAAGCTTTAGCAAATCAAGCTTTTCAGATAAAGTAAAATTGGAAGATCTAGCCTTTCCTACCATTGTTCTTTTCAAATTAAGTAGGCAGTTTCTGAAACCACCATGCAGCCTTCAGCTCTGCTCAGCTCTTTTCACAAACAGAAAAAGATCAGGCTTAACTAGGCTAGCCTCATTTAGGCCCACGCCTACAGGGGAGGGTTTATTAAAATTCCTCCAGCTTAAGCTGACGCAGGTTCAGGAAATCTGCTTAAGCCAAGCCTGACCTACATAAAGCTTCTCACTGAAGAAGACAGGAAGGCACAAGCAAAACACACTTGTGTATAAAGAGAACAGCTCCAGATAGAATTTAATGCACAAAGGTCTAAAGATAAGTATGAACACAGCTAAAAATTAACTAATTTAGTGAGAATATCAAATTTTCACACATGTTTGCCTGTCAGACTGAAACTGCACTGCAGTATCACTTTAATAAGAACAAAAAAGAAACGGTTTTGTTCTATTTGTTTACAAATCCAGTAGACCGAAAACTAAAAGATATGAGTGGTGAATGTAGTGATTCCTAACAGAGCTCTAATCACTGTTTCTGAGCTGGGTGTTCTCCCTTACAAAATCTGCATAATGCTGGTCCTGCTGTCAATCAGGAATTGCATATCCTCTAGCTAGTTAGGTTACACCCAGCTCAGACTCCACAGTAAAGCTAAGCTTCTCCTTCATTTTACAGTCTGTCTACATTGGCTCCTGAATATTTTTTTGTTATTTAAGAATAAATTTTTGTTGAACACTAAATATAAAAACCAGGTAACAAATTACATTTTTAAAGCAATGGATTGTTCTAGCTATAACGCATGTGAATATACTAGCCTGCTTTATTATGTATAAAAATAACTATTCATGGTGAGAAACAGCATAATCACACCATAGGAATGCACACAACAAAATCACATTTGCTGTTATAATAGAGAATTTTTATTTATCTATAATCACAAAACATAGACTATAAAAGGAAACACCTAATGTAGCCATTTGCAAGACCATGAGTTTCCATGCTTAATCCTAGTCTGAAAACATGATAAATAATAATGTAAACAAAACAAACCTATTTTCTCATGATATACATGTTTCTCCTGATAAGGGAATTAATTATAATCTACTTGAACAAGGTTCAATTCAGCCAATTACCAAACACTTATAAAAATGCTCCCAACCACTGTGCAAAGCCCAAAGAAAACAAAGTGAATCTATAAACAACTCCCGCACAGGGAACTGTAGTTTTACAGAAACGTTATAAATTCTCAATTATCTTGCTTTCATTCTTTTGAGAGAAGAGAAGCAAATTAAAATTATCATCACTTTGAACTGGAAAATGAGCTAGAAGTTTTCAATGTGTTATCGGTCAGGAAAAGAAAAATTAAAGATTGCTAGGTGCTCTATAAAATGCTACCTGTTTTCTGACAGGTTTTTGCCTTACAGGTAATCTGATTCTGTAACAGTACTAGTTTTTCCTTGCCCTTTTGTAGTTTTATAGCTTAGTAAATATAGGTTGAGTATCCCTATATTTGAAATGCTTCAAATCAGAAGCTATTAGGATTTCGGATTTGGGGATATTTGCATATATATGATATCTTGAGGATAGAACTCAAGTCTAAACACAAAATTCATTTGTTTCATATATATCTTACACATATAGCCTTAAGGTAATTTTATACAATATTTTCAGTGCACCTACATTTTTTTAACAAAAGAGCAGCTATGCAATTTTCCACTAGAAGGAGTCATGCCAACACTCAAAAAATTTCAGATTTTGAAGCATTTCAAAGGATGTTCAATCCATCTTAATGCAAATAATACATATTAAAAACTGATCCACTGGGCACAGTGGTATACCCCTGTAATCCCAGCGGCTTGGGAGGCTGAGGCAGGAGAAGCACAAGTTCAAAGCCAGACTCAGCAACTGAATGAGGTCCTAAGCGACTCAGTGAGACCCTCTCTCAAAATAATATATAAAAAAGAGCTGGGGAAGTGGCTCAGTGGTTAAACGCCCCTGCATTCAATCCCGGCTATCAAAAAAAAAAAAAAAAATTGACCCACTCCAACAACCACAAGGCTGCCCTATATTCAAAGTCATTCTAGCTTTTTCTAAGACTTCAAAACAATAAAGGAGAACTAAAGAAATAAAAAAAAAATACAGGGCATAACTTTATTTAGATAATATTTTCTTATTTTTGGAAGAAATACAGGTATGATGTTAAGAAATGAAATGCTGTTAAAAATATTTTAAAAGAGCTCAATCTCACTAATTATCAGGAAATGTATACTAAAATGATTTTTCAACCACAGATAGGCAAAAAAAATTTAAACTAAAAATGTCAAGATAAGATGAGGGTATCTGGGTATGATGGCACAAGCCTGTATCCCAGCACTCAGTAGGACGAGACAAATCACAAGTTCAAAGTTAGACTGGGCAAGTTAGCAACTACCCATCTCAAAATAAAAATATACACTTAGCAAGCCCCTAGGTAACTTGGGAAGACCCTGTCTCAACATAAAATATAAAGAGGGCTTGGCGATGTAGCTTATTACACTCCCTGGGTTCAATACCTAGTACCAAATAATAATAATTAAAAAATAAAAATATACAGGGCCAAAGATGTAGCTCAGTGGTAGACTGACTCTAGATTCAATCTCCAGTACCACAAACACAAACACACATGCACACAAAGACTGAATGAGGATGCAAGGGAGTGCTCTTCAGTCCTATTGACAAGAGTATAAAATGACATCCTGGGTAAAGATCTAGAACTATCTTAACATTTTACATGATTAAAACATTGTACAACTGTGGTAAATGTACTTTTCAAAATTTAACTTAGAAAAATACTCAAATACGCACAAGGAGTAATGAAGTATGCTATGTAGTTGCAGAGTATTGTTATCGGTTGATTTAAAAATTAGTCCACACCTACCCCATTTTGTTCAGACATCTCACCCTGTGTGAAGTCGGCACTCCTTCCACATGAGCTTACTCCTGTAGAATCTAACACCTCCACCCCCACCCACCTGCACACTGACCACAATATCCTTGCTCTATGGGACTAAAGCAAAATCGTTTTTCTGAGAATGTAACTTCTGAAAATATTAGTATACGACTCTTTTTTGTAACTTTCCATTTGTATGAAATGTAATTATCACTATTATTATCACTATTTTTTTGTAATTATCATTATTATTATTATTATTATTATTATTATTATTATCATCATTATTATTATTATTTGGTACTGGGGATTGAACTCAGGGGCACTCAACCACTGAGCCACATCCCCAGCCCTATTTTGTTTTTTATTTAGAGGCAGGGTCTCACTAAGTTGCAAAGCACCTCACCATTGCTGAGGCCGACTTTGAACTCTTGACCTGCTGGGATTATAGGGGTGCACCACCACGCCCAGTTCTACCTTGTAATTATGATTGCTCCTCCTGCCCACCCCACTCTTTGTGGTTTTAGGCCTTACAAGTGTATTCCTACTCCAATTGGGCTCAAGGGTTGCAGAACTGCTTGGTTCTCTCCACACTCTGCCCTGGCCAGAAATAAAGCTTCTGTCTTTATCTTCAAAGGACACAGTGAATTATTTGGAAATCTGAGGATAGCACTTTAACAGTATTAGAAGCAATCTAAAAGCACAATAGTTAAAAACTAGTTAAAATCAGAGTATATCCATGCTATGGTCTACTTAAGCAAAATTAAAATGAAAGAGGCAGATTTCTATATATTGACACAGAACAAGCTTTAAAATACGGTAAATGAAGAGCAAGTTAAAAATATATATACACCATAATCCCATTATGCTTATATTGGGGCTCCAAAAATGAACCCCAAAAAGCAATCTCACAACCAAGGTCTCACTGACCTTACCTCATCTGTCATCCCATTTCTCCTCTTTCTGTGAAGTTCCCCTATATATCCATGGACCAAAAGAAATACAATTGTCTTCCATCCTTTCCAGTTTCATCAACCAAGGAAAACTAAGCTCCTATCACAGAAGAACTGAAAGTCAAACACCATATCTAGAACTCAGATGAACTTTGTCCCAGGCCATGTCTGTTCTTCAGGTCCACTACCTCCCCTAAGGATCATTTACTGTTCCTCTAAAATTACCTATATCCTATTTCTCTCTCCCCCATGAAGAAGGATACATAAACTTCTAAATCTCCTAGATGACAGAATACTCACTCCCCTATGATTATGCCGTGTACATAATAAACTTGCATGCCTTTTTGTTACTACCCAGAATACTGTCATACTCAATATTTTCTGCTGGTAAGTCTATTTCTCATACCCAAATATCAGCTGGGCACAGTGGCACAAGCTTGTAATCCCAGTGTATTGGGAGGCTGAAGCAGAATGATCACAAGTTCAAAGCCAGCCTTAGCAAGTTAATGAGGCCCTAAGCAATTTAGCAAGACCCGCTCCCCGAAAAAAGGGCTGGGGATGTGGCTCAGTGGTTAAGTGCTGCTGGGTTCAATGCCCAGTACAAAAACAAAAAACAAATATCTCATCTTTAGAAGTAAAAGAGATGGTACCCTTGCCCCAACTTTTATTTAAAAATAATAATAACAATAAAGCTAACTACTTCTGTAGGTAGAGAATGTTATATAAAAGAGAATGTTGATACATATTTCTAAAAATATACTCACAAAAAGATCTAGAGCCTTGCTATTCAATACAAGCCACATGTGGATACTGAGCACTTTTAATGTGACTAAACAGAATGAAAAACTGAACTTTTAACTTTATTAAATTTTAATTAATTTAAACAAATTTTAAACTGAGGAAGTATTACACTTTAGGTATGAGGTTTCCCCCAAAGCTCATGTGTAAGACAATACAAGAAGGTTCAAAGATAAAATGATGAGATTATGAGAGACTTAACTTAACCAGTGAATTAATCCACTGATATGGATTAACTGGGTGATAACTGTAGGCAGGTATGGTGTGGCTAGAGAAGGTAGGTCACTAGGGCTTGCCTTTAGGGTTTATATTTTATCCCTGGTGAATAGAGCACACTCTGCTTCCTGGCTGTCATGTCCTGAGATACTTTCCTCTACTACCCTTCCACCATGATGTTCTGCCTCAGCTCAGAACAAAGGAATTGGCTGTCTATAGAATGAGATTGCTGAAACCATGAGACAAAATAAACTTTTCCTCCTCTTAATATTGTTCTTGTCAGTTCTTTTAGTCACGGTAACAAAAAGCTAACTAAAAGAAGCAGCATTATTTTTTCCTTAAACACAACTTTATTGTTTGGTAGGATATATTTTACCTTAACCTTTTTGTCACATATGAAACTATTGTTTCTAATATTATTGACAAGGATTCCCTCCTTAACCAAACATTGCTTCTCTGAGAGCTCTTTTCAACTAGGACTAGTTCTTGGTCTGATGAGGCCAATTTAAGCAAGAATGTTGCTAAGCCAGTTTATTAAGCATTTCCCAGCCCTTGCTATCTAATCAAATTCTTCATCCTCCCTACTTGATATTTTATGAAGTTCTCACCCACTCTTAACACCAAGTACATTACGAAATTAATTTACACTGCAACTAAGCTATAAATCCCAGTTGTATTGAGAGTTGAGTTCAATCTTTTTCCCCTATTGCAATAGTATTGAATAATGTCTTCCTTGCCTGGAGATGGAGGTGTAGCTCAGAGGTAGAGTTAGCAAGCACAAGGCCCTGGGTTCAATCCCAGCACCCTTAAAAGACAAAATGAAATAAAAATTTCCTTGCCTATTTAACCTGCCTTTTTTTTTTTTTGTACTGGGGAATGAATCTAGGGGTACTTTGTCATTGAGCTACATTCCCAGCCCTTTTTAATTTTTGAGACAGGGGTCCACTAAATTGCACAATTTTTCTTTTGACATTATAAATAAATACACCACCAATATAATAGATCTTGTTTAACAAACTGATTCATTTGGGAGAGATAATTCAATGGGGGACTGGAGTTGTG